GCTCAAGGGGCGTATCGGTGACAGGATGAACGATGTGCAGCAGCAGGGCAGCTCAAAAGGTATAAAGTCGTCCAATCAAAGTCCCTGCAGTGTGCGCACGAGGACGGACTAGCGATACCCGACCGACGTCCCTTCAAGAGCAAATTCCTGACCGGGTCCCTCAGAGGCCGAGTGTGAGGGCAGCCTCGAGGCATTGAGAGCCTGGCACCACAAATCAAAGTCAAATCCAAACCCAAGCCCGGGAGCGACAGGCTGCACTGACAAATGAATGCTTAAAAATCTTGCGTCAGCTCTGCAAACACTTGGACAATGAAGTGCATGCATCTCTTTCCTTCCTGCTCTCTCGTTTTCGCTCAGCTCGTCACAGAGCCGCTTGTGTCTGGAACTAAATATCACCACGCAACAGATGGAAATTGAATTCATTTAATCAGGCTGAAAAATGGCCAGCGGATAAAAAGGCGATGATGCTGAGGGGGGGTGGGAGGGTCTCTGAATACATCTGTCTGCTGGGTGACACACAGCCCCCAAGCGACCTGCGGGGCACAGAGGTGAAGAGGTTGTTTGCTACAGTTACAAAGGTGGTTTTATTAACAACGTTTCTATTTATGCAGCTCCCAACATACCAGCAATTAACCTGCTGCCTATGGCTACAGGTTTTGTTATCAAAAGATTTTTGAGCATCAAAGAAAAGCTGGGATATCTTCAATAAAAACAAGGGTTTTCTTCTCGTTTATGAATAATCCCCCCAAGGAAATAAGTTCAGCATGGCTTGAATCTATAAAAGCAGGTAGCGGGGACAGATGTTACACAAATAATGACGCACTCAACTGTGTAATGAACATGCTTTCAGCCAAAAAACACAAGAATCATAAAAAAAAAAGTCAAACCCACTACTGAAAGTGACTGCGTTGGCATCAAAATGTTACCCACAATACATCACTCTGGCATTTTGTGTTATCATTTTATCAGATTTACTCAGCTTATTGTGAAGGGATGTGACGTCTAATCTAACAGTCTTGAGTTCAAGTGTCAGCTTTGCACTTAAGAAACAATCGGTGCTAAATGAATGATGCAGATGTCCACACGATCCCAACAACTCACATACTTTTAAGTGTGTAGTAAAGTCCCTCTGGTTCGGCCTTTCGGGTGCTGGTTAAAAAAAGACAGACTGATCAAATTGTCTCAACTGGTTGAGAAGATCTAATCACAGTGGAATCCCATTCAGGCATCAGTCTCCGGTTTGACGTCAGTGAATCTTTACGCAGGAATGTCAAGTCTCAGACTTGACATAAAGCTTTATAGTAGCGTGAAATTTTTCAAGGTGAGCGGCTAAAATTGCCTGAACTGAGAGGAGGGCGTTCAAGGCAACCCTGACAGGGAAAGTGGCCCTGAGTCCCCGTCCATTGCTCTTTATTAAAGAACCTTTATTATTCCATCCATCCCCTGCACAGTCATTCTGCGTTACCGTTGACCCGGCCGGCAGCAGTGCCGGTGAGCAGCCGGAGAGAAATACCGTCAGAATAATGGATTAAGCCCACAGCAGGACGCACAGCTGCATCGTGGCATGATTGTAATGCAGGAGACTTCTCTGGGACACAGTGAGCAGACAATTAGTTTGGAAGCAAATCACAGCTTGTCTGCCCTGCGGCGGGGGGGGGGGGGGCTAATGGGGGAAATTATTCAACCTGCGTGTCAGGCAATAGGATCCCACGCTGTGAGGAGAGAGCGCTGGTCATTCCAACCCGCATGAAGTTAATTGTGAACACGAGAAAACATGAAGGTGACATAAAAGAGCTTCTTCCGTGCGAGGATCATTCATGGAGGTTTTGATTTTGGTTGTTATTGTTGCACAGACGGACCTGCAGCAGGCGTACCTGGTGACGTGACCGGCCCTGTGGTGGTCTGTCATCATGTGAAAGCCTCGGTCACAACTATTTGGCTATGCAGCACATAATTCAGAGCTCCAGCACACAGACGTCTGCTCAGTATAGTCATCCATCAGCGCGCTTTCTGCCAAGTCAACAGATTCTTGTGGTGGTGGGCAGTCGGGGGAAAGGCCTCTCAGGTTGTGTTTCAGCATTGGGAGTGTGTGTGTGTGTGTGTGTGTGTGTGTGTGTGCAGCCCTGGAGAGTCTGGGTTTTCACTGTGTGTAAAGTATAGCCCTTTACGGCAGCAGTAATCCATACAGCAAGCCAATACAGCCATCTATACCCCCACCAGGACACGTAATTGTTCCAACATGTGAAAACTCAAGTGGGATACTTTATTCAATTAAGATGACTCTAAACTATTTTATTCACAATCAAGCCTGGAAACCGGTCCGTCTACTCGCCTAAGGCCCAGGAAAACAAACATGGAATAGAAAGAAATGCAGTAAATATCCACATTTGAGAAGCTCAAAGAAGTGCATTGTTGTAGTTTTTGCTTGAAAAATTACTTAAACACTACTTGATTATCAAAAGTGTTTTCTCCCAATCAAGTAACCGTATGTTATCCCAGTAAAAGTGGCACAACATTAACTATTAAGACCCTAACCACTGCTGAAATGTGATAAGATGATTAATTCACCAATGAACCTGATAATTGATTTCTCAGTCAAATCATTTATCTAGCATACATCTTTAGGGCTGAAAAGATTAGTCAATTCATTGATAAACCTGTAATCATTTTGATCCTCAACATTGTCTGTTTTATAACACTATGAATATAGTCACGCCTGCAACTCATTTTTTTATTTTCATTGATGGTCCACAAACCATCAGAAAATTGTGAAAATTGCCATTACAATGTCCTAAAAGTTGAGGTAGCGTTATCACTATTATTTAACAGAAGAAAACTCAGCAAGTTCTCACATTTGAGACGGTGGACTTAAGCAATGAAATCAATCATTACATTAGTTGCTATCATTGACATAAATTCTGTATATTTTGGTTTTAAACAACTGGTCAGAAAAAGAAAACTACAGTATTTGAAGACGTCGCAAACAGCTTGAGGACAACTCGGACTCCATTTATCAATATGTTCGTACGCAGTCATGATTCACAAATCATTTTCACTTATTTTGACCAATTAGACCTCTCCTCATGATTGTGTGCGTCTGTACAGACTGTGATTTACTGACAGCTCCTGGACTCTGCTGTTAGTTTTGTTGCATCTTCGTCACTCAAATGTCCGGTGACCTCATATTTAGTAGCTTTGATACACCAAACGTCACCTGAGCGCAGGTGCCCGTCGCAATTATTACATTACGATTGTTTGAGGTAGCCACGACCATTCTGCATAATCGTTATATTCCACAATCAGGGGAATTTATAGCCAATGTTTTCAACAGAAAGGGTATTAGGTGTGTTTCCATCAGCTCGGTTGAGTCAAATGAACTGTCTACCTCAGCCAAAGGTTATAATGCAGGAAGAGGAAAACATGGAAACAAAGAGCTGCTGGACAGGTTCTTCTGGTTCAGCTCACGTGTGTTGCTTACAAAGCAAGATGGTGACAGAGGTGCCGATAAGGCGTCTCTTGATTTATAGCAGAGAAGTTTTGCTGGAGTTGTCACTTTCAATCCCCTTTTCTAACTACTAAATTTCATTATTAATGCCTGTGCTTTTCCTACTGAGGCAACTCAAAATGTCTTCATTTTAATAAAAGGCTTACAGTTCAAATGTAACAGGCCTTTTTCACTGATCATAGCACAGGTTTTACCAATAAAATGAACGATTTCTCTGTTCCATTAAGTGTCTCAGTAAGACATTTGAATGAACCAGCATGCGCAATAAAAAGGACCCTGGAAGTGCCATTTTTAATGTTATTGATTACACCTGTGCTTTTCCTGCTGCTATAACGTGTCAAAATGTCTGCCGTGAAAATGGTCCGTTAGCTGCATCTCCTCAGTGCCAGGCTCCCACTCTCATCCAACGATACAAGAGGTGGTGTTTGAACCCCTGAGGTAGCCTAGCTGCACCCTCAGACCGTCTGCACCACTCTGCTGTTCCTTAAAAAAGAAATCCCCACAGTGGAGGCATCGGAGAGATAATCCTGCAATGTCCCAGATCTTTATTGGGAGTGAGCCCCTGATGGGAGCTCACAATGAGATTTGAACGCAGTGCCGGCCACGCTTGAATCACAGGAGAGAGTTTAGTAAAAGGACAGGAGAGGATTTAAAGCAGGGTGGCGTCCCCATGTCTGCAAAAATATCATTCAAACTTAGTTGGAGCAAATAGAGGTTTCCTGCAGTATACTGTGTATTTGTCACTGCCCATCACACCTTTTAGGCTGACTCCAGAACCACCAGCTGCAAAATAGCATGTCCCATACTTCCTAATTAACTGTTGGTTTCTTATCTCAAAAATGTATCAATTTATGACAGAAAATGTATCTGCAACTCATTTGAAAATCTGTTAATCGATTGCGTTATTTTTCAAGCAGAAATGACAAACATGCTCCAGGTGCAGCTTCTCAGATGGATTAATTTGCTGCTCGTCTCTGTCTTTTTTTTCTATCATCAGGGAAAAACCTCTGGTTGTACAAAACAAACACGTCATCAATTTCCAAATTGGAAGATTGATCACGTCCAGAATTGCCAGATTAACCAATAATGTCAATAACTTCCAGCTGCAGCTCTAAAGTATACAAACACTCACTATCACGGGGCAACAGGCTGCAGAAAGCAGCACCTCCTCAATCTCACACTGCATTGCACAGATGGATGAGATGTACTATCTGTAGGCATTCAAATACTACAAATACTCGGAATAGCCACGCGAAAGATCAGCGGGACAGCTCCCAGATCACTAAACATGTCATGACTGTGTGCCATTGTCTGATGAGGCGTTAGTGGTGGGTGAGGTGCTGCACACTGACCCAAAATGCACAACAATGGTGATGCACATATCTATCTATCAGTGACCAAAGACAGCAAAGACAGACACCTCCCACCCAGCCTGCGGTGTTTCTGGAGTGTTGTGAAGGGATGGGATCGGGCTGCAGAGCCCTTTAAAACTTACCGAGCTTCCCCTTGGACTCCTCCAGCTTCTGGATCTGGTTCTCCAGGAAGAACATGGCCACTGCGAACGCCAGCAGCGCCAAAAGCTGCAACTTGGGCGGCATCATGACTCTGAGCAGCCCCATCAAATCATCCAGAGAGCTATTTGGTCAATCCATGCTCAGAGAAGGAGACACTGAAAACACACACACGCACACACGCACAGCGACGACAGTGATTACAAAGCGGCTGAGTGTGTGAGCATGGCCCTCTCTCCCTCTGTGTGCGTGTGTGTGGATATCTCGGCAGTGTTCAAATCCTGTGGTTACCTCAAAGGCGATGTGTGTTCATGCTCGGCTTGGTTATTCCATCAAATCGATTCCCAAAAGAGGGGCCCCAGAGATTTGTCCAGAGTGCGTAATAGTCCCTCCGGTTCGTCTGTCTTCTGCGTCCCCCATGTAGCGCTGCGCTGTCCCATCCAGTGTGTGTCCACCACGGACACTCTGTTACCACCACTCAGGCCATTGGATGTATCAACAGTCCGCCACACGGATGAGGATTTCTATTCGTTGACTATCTCTATCTGTTCAAACCGGATTGGACAATTTTCAAAAAACGGACCTGAAGTCGGACAGCAGATGTCGCTGTTGTGTTTGAACCCTGATAAAAACAGAGACGAAGAAGACGGTTAGAGTCGACTTTGGAACATGCCAAAACTAAAAAAAAACATTAATCTAAATTAAATTATCCAGAATTACGCATATATTTATCGAAATGTTAATATAACTTACATGAACGATGTTATGTCAGCAAGCGTTGAACACCGAGAAAAGATAAACGGTGAGTTATTAAGTTTAACGGACAGGCGCGAGGGGGCAGCCCTTCCTGGAATAAAGGGGTCCTCAGGATAGTTTATGCTAACAAAGCAAGCTCCAAAATGTCGGGAGAGGTGTATCTCCTGTGGCTTCTCTCGCTTTTACAAACGGTGAGTTTATTTACAATGAAAATGAGCAGCTGTCGCCGCTGTCAGTCGTGTGTTGTCGTCGGCATAGCTGCTGTCTGTGAGCCGTCTACCGCATGAGCCGCGTCCTGCTGAGCCCGGAGCTTCTAAATGACGTGGCTTATCTTCAAAACCCTGAGAGCCCAGATGAGAAGCCTCCTCAGTATTTATATGTCGGCTAACTCGTATAGAATAGTTATTAACAGATTGGTTTGTCGAAACCGGTGTTTTGAAAGAGAAAGGCAATGTTAAAACCAGTACTTCCGGTGTTAAACATCACTTATCCCCGTCAGAAACAGCTCTCTGTTCGGCAGATGAGTCCTAAATGCTTTTAACTAACGAGTCAAAATGTTTTTTATTATCCCAGTTAAAGTTATGGACATGGAGAGAGTAGGTAATACAGGATGCTAAAGATATTTCCACACAGACGCAGCTAAATACGGGGCTTTTAATGGAGTAATTAACTTGAGAGGACTCTGGTTTCCTGATTCCTGAAAACAGATTATGTAAAATCTACCTCGGAGTCATAGTTGCAAGAATAACTGACGAAACAAAGTACCCATCAGCTGAGTCCTCCATTATTCACTGTGACACCAGGACGGTTTGTGACCACACACAGGATGAACACATATAGACTGAAGCGTCCTGTTAATTAGCCTAGTGTTTACCCACATTCCTACCAGACTATTACATCTCTTTTGCTGAGATTATTTATAATTAAATCAACAAAACTGTATTGCAATTGTAGTCCTCCTCACGTGAAAATGCTTAAGCTGATTACATTTTCTTTCTAAATCAAAATTGAATTAATAGATGATATTTTAGTTTTAGCACCACGTTCCTATAGGCTGATAAATAATTATTTATATATTGATTCAACAATACACTGAACTTGTCATTGTAATTGAGAGTTAATTTACAGAATTTCATACAAGTGACATCTCAAAGTTCTCATCTGTTTGTTTCAGGATTTTATTGCACTTCTAAAGCAAACAAATATCTACAATCTCAATTCTTAATTTCTGTTTTTATTGGTAACATAATGCTTTTTTTTTATACTCGCACATCTGTACTTGAAGTAAGATTTTTTTATTTTTTTTTTTAAAGGCCAACCTTTTATCTATCCTCTCTGTGTGACTCTCATCTCCTCCTTCCTCTCGCCAGCTGTCTGCGTATGGTGCCGATCTGACGTCTGAGGCATGCAGGGATCTGGGCTTCTCCAGCAACCTGCTGTGCAGCTCCTGTGACCTTCTCGGGGAGTTCAGCCTCAACAAGCTGCAGCCCGACTGCCAGCAGTGCTGCCAGCAGGAGGCCCAGATGGAAGCGCGCAAGGTAAAGGGAACAACAGAGCTCCAGAGAAATAGGCAAACATAAAGTAGTTGCCTGTCTAGATTCAGGAGGAGGAGGAGTGTGGTACAAAGACTTTATAAAAGGAGATTCAGTGACAATGGACTAAGTGTAACACTTATTTGTTATCCTGTGCTGCCTTCTCTCTGACTTGCCAAATTTGATGATGCACAACAGATAAGTTTATTTATCTTGAGCTGATCGGCAAGCTGTCTCTAGTTCACTGAGCTTCACAGACAACGGGCTCCTCAGTGGATAGTAGAAGCACTCAGAAGACCTCCGTGTCACATTTATATGACAGAATCACAACCTCCAGCATTTGAGATGCTACTCAAAACAACCTAGTTTTAGCCTCTCTGCCACTGGGTCTGTTTGCAGCTGTGCGTCAGATCTGATCTGCCACACACACAAACTCTGTCAGTAGCTTTCTGTCTCAATCCTTCTCTCTGATGTTCAGAGTCGAGCCTCCTCAACCCTAACGTGACACTCCCCATGGGGTAGAAATATCAAGTTTCACAGTAACAACCTTTCTGTGAGGAGGTGTGACCGTGCTCTCATAACGCCAGTGATTACAACACATTCAGAATGGCTCCCTGCTTGCCTCTGGTGGATAAACCCTGAGCCGAGTGATTGTGTGAAAAACAACGTAACCCTTCTTTGATTAAGCACAGTCCCCAGAGCGTGTGTGGTATCCTAGCAACAGCACCATGGCGAAGTGTAGTGCACACCTCATTACACCCCTTGATAATAACTCTGCTTCAGACGGACACTAAGAGGAACGAATATTCCTCTTCCTCCTCACGATTTGAGTGAAATGTCACATAGTGGAGCAATTGGCCGTCTCCAGCTTGACGTTGAGGGTACCAGTAGAAACCACGGTGTCGCTGAGCACATTCTACTCAACAACAATTATCTGCCTTTTAGAATACTTCAAGTCTCGCAGTCGACATCAGTGCCGTGTCATTAAACCCTCTGAGAAACGGCTTATTGCGCAGCCTTGTCAATTAGTAAGATTCAGTGGGCATGCATGGCATTTCGGTTACTCACTTTCAACTGTGTGCTTGCTTCTGTGCAGAGCTCCTCCGCTCCCCGATACAATACATCATTGATGCTCCACCACGCCCAAACGTTTGTATGTTTTTAAGGCCAGAATAAATTGATGAAATTCAAATTAGTCAACTTTGAGCTGAAGATCTGTGTGTGAGTGCTACCTTTTCCCCTTTTGGGTATTCAACATTGGAACCTGATGAAAACAAATACTTGGAAGGTGCATCCTCTCAAAGACCTAACCTCTATACAGCGTGTCTCTGTACAGTGTTGATGACAAAGCACGAGAAGCCTGTTTAAGCCATAGAGGTTATGTTTGGTGATATGTTTTTCTTGTTGTCATTAAATCCCATGAAAAGACCAAAACCAACAATGACCCGATGATCCCTCTCGGTATCGGCTGTGTAGCTGAGCACAGTAGCTCTGCGGCTGAAAATAATCCCAAACAAATGCACTAGTTCCTCCTGTTTGAGCAACGTTTGCTGAAAGCTGCAGTAGCCAGCTGTTTTAGGAAAGTATGCAGCATTGTTTAGAAATTAAACTCTATATTTGTAACCTGTTTTTAAAGATGTATGTCTTCAGTAGGAAGTATTGGGTTTGGGTCTGTGGGCCGCCCACAGGAAGTGTTAGTTATGGTGTTTTCATGACGACAATAACAAAATGTATAGTATTGCCAGACTTTTAATCTTGACTTGCACCAAAATGTTGGTATGCTCACAGAATAATGATGTATCTACGATCATATATTTCTTTCTTGTTAACCTTTATTCATATCTGTTTGGCAAATTATTTTATTGACATTACTTCATCATTTATAAATATTACCGTGTTTTTAATTCTTCAGGCATAGTGAACATAGATAAAAGTAAGATAAAGAGTACGTGGATCGAGGTATTGAGAATGTATTCCTTTCATGTATTATTATTTTACATCTGAAGTCACTGGTAGACGGGGTGACTAGCTAATTATGAGCGTTGTTAAAATGCGTCCAGTTAGAGCGGCCTGTCGTTCGTTTCCTGCTCTCAACGGGGCCGTGAGTTGTCTCTGATCTGCAATGTGTGGTAAAATGAAAAGCACGGAAATTTAATTTCAGCAGTGCTGGATTGTTTACAGAAAGACTGAGGAAGGATCTGAGCTTTGCACGGGTAATTTAATTTGCCGTGCGAACCAGCCAACCAGGTCATTTAGCGCTCTCCTCCCTTAAACGGAAAACAGAGCATCGTATTGACATACTGCTGTGACACTCCAATTTCCTCTAACATATCGTGTATCGGTGCTGCAGGTTTGATTACAAGTGAGCACAGCACAAACGGCCATCCATCAGCCCTGCTCCATATGCACAGCCTCGCAGTTTAATGACCCCCGAGGAGTCTCCTGGACACGTTTATGAATCAGTGTGCCCGAATCAAATTACTCCTCCAGGCCAGGCGACCAACCACCAGCAGGGACACAGCCCTGTTGTGTCTCTGTGTGTGGGCATTGATGTGTGTGTGTGTGGGCATTGATGTGTGTGGGGTGGGGGAGGAAACTCCTCATGGACTACCTGACATTGTGTCTCTCTTTACCCAGCTCTACGCTGGGGCCATCCTCGAGGTGTGTGGATGAAAATTGGGGAGGTTCCCCCAAGTCCAAGGTGAGTTCTCTATTGGGACGTGATTATATTCTGATATTTATTATTTTAACTTGATCTTAACTGTAGCAGCTCTTTCCTGCAACTAAATGTGTGCTCTGTGTGATTCTGTGTCTTGGTCAATGGGGATGAGTGTGGAACATGTCCTCTTGAAATCACTTTTTTTTTTTTTCCAGCAGCAGGTGGTCTAAAATGCCCGAGGGCTGTTTTTCAAACAAGCTTTTGAAGTTGTTTCCCCCCCCCCCTCTTTGTCTCCGGTGGAGACCTCCCATCTCTGCTCGGTGTAACATTTGGTTAATTCGGTGTCGAGTTACTGCAGCCTCAGAATGGGAGTAGACGTCTGGAGCCCGGTGTGTGCGCCATGTGGCTGCCGTTTGTTTACTTCAGCTGTAGCCATCCTTTGTTCGCAACTGTCCCCGCCGCTGTTAACGCCGCATTCCCAGGAGCGTTTACAGTTGTCACTAATTACAGACCTCGGTACTAAAGTGGAAAGACTAATTGACTGATTCACTGCCTGACATTTGCCTCACTGGTGTTTTTATCTTTAGCTTTTGTCAGGAGTGACAAGCCGAAGATGTTCAAGGGTCTTCAGATCAAGGTAAGGATGATGAATCGTGAAGCAGCACGTTGATATAATCTCATAATTGCACACACATTAAGCTTCATCTGGAGGGAAAAAACAACGCAATTTCAAAGGGAAATCAGATTATGTTAATCGGATGACTCGCAGACATTGAATATCTTTCATTAGTATTGAGGGCAAACCTTCCTAACACACCTCCTGTTTCTCTGTCTTTCCCACTCTGCAGTACGTGAGAGGCTCTGATCCTGTACTAAAGCTTTTGGACGATAACGGGAACATCGCTGAAGAACTCAGCATCCTCAAGTGGAACACAGACAGCGTGGAGGAGTTCCTGAGTGAGAAATTAGACCGGATATAGACACGTGTATGTTTTCTGTTTTTAGTCTTTAGTTAAAGGGTCGTTTCACCCAAATTTATACCTCTAGTTGTATGTAGCCATGCAGATATTTTCTGTTTTTATGTTCCTGAGATGTCTGCGTCCACCTTCAGGTAAATGGAGTTCTGTTTATGGCGCTCGCAGCACTGACGAATCACATTTAAACCAACTTGTCCTTCTAGAACCTGTGTTCCTGTTGATAAACCACCTTCAATGGTTTTATATGAAATGGTTCCAATGAAATAGAGTCCTACAAACTAGAATACTGTGAGCGCCGTTGTGTTTAGGTTGTGGTTGAAATCTCAAGAGACGCATCCTTAAAACATTAACAAATAAACTATCTGCATGGATAGACTACTAGGGGCTACCGACAAAAAAAATCATTTTTTTTATAATTTGGGTGAACCGAACTTTTGTTATTTACCAATTTGTACACAACTCAGCCTTGAAAGATGGTTGTTAAATCACTATATGACTGTTTTTGTATGTGAAAAATCCTCAATTTCTTGTCTGGATTTTACCAAATAACTTATGCGAGGGTGTGAAAGACGTCATCGCAGAGCCCCGATGGACAGCACACTCGAAATAATGAATAACATTACCGAGTAATCATGGCTCAAAGTGCGTCTATTAGGTTTGAAAAACAATAGCGCACATCATGAACTGTTTCGAGTTTACTTTCCTCTTCTGTCAGTCTGATATTCATGTATGATTTTCTTTTTTTTTTTTATAACGCTCAAAATTGTGACTGATGATTTGTGTTTAAAAATGAATCCTAGTTGCTCTTCTAATGCAGGTGTCTTTGCTGAAGCACACGTTAGTGACGACCTCACAGTAAACCAGTGTTGGGATGTGAGGTCTGATGTGAATTTGTGTTTTTTCGGCATCTTCTGCTTTGAAGAGAAACTGGATTTGTTACGAATGCTTGTTTTGTTTTTTTGAGCAAGTGAGTTGACAGTATAAATATGCAACGATAAACAAAGCCTCTGATGTTTTTTCTGTCATTAGCTATTTTGTCTTTGTTACTCGAGTGCAGATAGTCTCGCCTCATTTAAAACCACAGACATGGATTTGCTGACATCTTGTGGTCTAAAGCATCACAGCTCGGTGCTGGGACAGGTGGACTAAACAGTTACAGCACTTAGTCAGAGGGTTGGTCAAACTTGCCTGAAATTGCAAAATGTATTGCAAAAACAGGCACTAAAATATATCTCCAGAACATATACATAACATCTCCTGCGTCTCCTGTTACTTCTTCATGCAGCTACCAGTCTGTAGAGAGAGCACAGGGCCGTGCAGCTGCTGAGCTTACTTTGCACAGCTTCTTTCCAAGGACGAGTGCTGTTCGGCAGTTTAATGTAGCAGATCATATCTGTAACGGATACAGTAGCTGTACTTAAAACAATGCGCATACATGTATGAATACATCTTCCTTGAAGTGCCGTTACTTATCTTCAGTCCGACATTAATAAAACATGAACATGTTTCACATGTCAATAAACAGGTTTGTGTATGCTGTCATTTACCTTTTATATTTGAATAATTGAAACCACATATTTCACAAATCAGTGTTTTATTAACATAAAACCTTTAATGATTTCACAAAACAAGTAAAAAATGCTTCGATTACATACAAGTATAGGGTTCATAAATATCTAAGCATGGAGATGTGCATGTGAAAACTACATATTTTGCCAGAACTCCTTTTTTTCTTACTCCTGTTGATACAATGTGAGACATTAACCCCCATTATCAGATAGTAAAGACGTATTTAATGTGTATATGAGGCAACTTAAGAAAAAAGCATCCCACAAAGCATGCTGCGTGTGAACAGCTAACCGCAAACACAAATTGTCAACGCAGCGGAGTGTTGAAGTTACACAAAATTCTGGTCTTTCTTGCCGCCCTCTGAATGGTGATCGGTTTTGGCGTGGGGCTGAGGTATGTAAGCAACCCCCGGGTAACTGAAAAGCAAGAGGCAACAATTGTTGGAGATTAATGCAACTAGAAAGAGCAATAAATTCAGTCCAGAACAAATCCACAAACATCAGACTCGCAACTATAACTCATTGAGGGGACTCACTGTGTTTTTTCATCTTTCACCATCCCCTTGAAAGCCAGTGACTTCAGGATGCCAGCAATAAGCAGGATGCCCCCTCCTATCCAGGTGATAAACAGTGCAGGGCCAAAAGTGTATCTGCAAAGGCAAACAAGACATGATGAGTAAGTCCTGCATGCAAACAATATGGAGAATATGACAACACGAGCAAAACAAGTATCTTTGTGTCCTACCTGGGCATCCCCCCTCCCTGCATGTTGTCTCCGAATCCTCCTCCATAGTTTGGGTTGGTGGACGTCCTGAAACTGGCCACAATCTGATTGGCGTAGATGGAAGCTCCTGCGATGCCACACACACCTGAGAGAAGTGTACAGAGTGACAAAGACAAGAACTCTGTGATTTATTTACTTCATAGAGAAACTGTTAATAAATGCAACTCCTTAACAATCAGAGATGTCAACCAACAAAAAACAAAAACCTTGTGTTTTTCATATTTCTGTTATTTGTAACCATACCCCCGATGAGGAACATGATGCCCGCGGTGAGGCTCATCTTTGCCTTGGTGGTGTCCGACATGCTGTTCATTTTGAGGCAGGCCAGGGAGAAAACGGATATCACCCCTCCGAGGACACTCAGCACCACACCCACTATCATCAGGGCTCGTACAGCCTGGAAAGTACCTAGTGGACAGAAAACCCAAAGACATGTTATATTGAGCCTGATATGTCTGAAATTACTGATAATTTCACTGTATCTTACTCTACCAAGATGCTCTACATTGTATAATAATCTGCATCACATAAATCTTACAATAGGATTTATTTTTTCCATTTAGACCTGCAACACTTCATGTCATCCTCATAATCTCACGAAGACGATGATGTGACCATACTGTATGTGTTTAATCTGATAATGTGACCTGTATTCTCCTACAGGTGTGCTGTAGGAACCTGCCCTTTGCTTCTTGTTTGTTCTGTTTCTGATATCTGTGTTGACTGACCTGGCCGTCCATTACAGTGACCAGAATGAACTGGTGCTAATGCAAACACTGATAGCAGTGGGCTTGACGCAGTTAGTATAAGGACAACAGAAACTGAGAGTCAAAAATATTTAGAAATATCATCTGTTTAAATAATTATATAATTTACACCAAATAGTTAGAAAGATAAAATTATCTGATTTATCCCTTCTGCACCTTAGCGAGAACAAGTCCTCACAGATTTATTTTTTGCTGCAAATCAAAGTGTTTTCATCAATTTTATTAAAACATTCAATTGTTGTTGTTCTACATAATATTCTACAAATACGTGGCGTTAAAGAGACGCAGAGCGAGAAACACTTGTCATTCTATGTTGCTTGCACATGAACCCCATGCAACTGAAAGAGACTCGACAAACCTCCTGCCTTGTAATTTGAGAAAAACTAGTTTCTTGGCTCTTGACTTCCTCGTAACTCTGATACTGGACTGTTTGGTCACAACTTCTTTAAACTGTGTTACTTACTCTATCATTGATCCTGTGACCAGATAAAGCTCATTATGTCTTTTAAGAGTATAAATGGGAGACATTGCACATTCAAATATAAGAGAGTCTTGTCCTACCTGAGAAGCCCAGGAGGCCGTAGAGCGGGCGACACTCGGTGAATCCTGAGGAAGCGGTCTCACAGTTCTTCCACAGACCCTTGTAGGTGTAAACAGATGTCACCACATCCCCCTGCCTGTCCTTGACGCTCCAGTTGTTCATGGTAGTTCCTGCGATGAGGGCTGCTGTACCGACCAAACCCAAAATGAATCCACCATTCTGCAGAACTGAAGGCGCCATCGTTGTTTCCTCCTTCAGAAGTTAGGAAATATAAGGGAGGCACGGCGTGTGTGTGTGTGTGTGTGTGCGCACCGGATGGTTTGTGCCCAGTTTAAATGGAGAAATACTGGAAGTGCAGCTGCATGTGTATATGAGTTAAAGCAAAGGTGAACAGGTGTGGGCAGAGAATGAGAACGGGCAAAGTGATGCTTTGTAGTGATGGTGGCGTTGGGTGGAGGCGGTTGGGTTTCACCCAGTGGGTGACACAGCAGCATGGGTTGGGCTACCTTGTGCTGAGAGGTGTGGACACACTGGTGATACGCGCACCTGGCACCTATAGGTGAGAACTAACTGTTTGAATGTAAATACGGGAAACTGATTCACCGACTCCACGGGGCTGTAGGTAAACCGCCAACTGTTGTGAGTGAATTATGCGACCCTTTGCCACGCCAACACCCTCACACACTAAGAAAATGATGCAGCACTGCAGAAAGACAAACATGCGAACGCACAGAGACGAGGCAGCACTGAGTGTGTCACTCTATTAGATCTAATACAACGGACTACCAGAGAGGAAGTGAGACAAACACTTGACAAATGGAGATTTTTGATTATGATTTTATCATGGACAGAATGTAAAAGTTCGTATCAGGCCTCGGCTGTGAGAAACCAGTGAAGGAAAAGCTTTTTCACTTCCACATGAAGGCCAGAGGTCAAGGTCAGCTACAGAGCTGCGTCCAGCTGGACCTGTGAATTTATAAATATTTGTTGCTTTGCTCGAGAACACTTCTACAAGATGACATCTTTAAATCTTTCACTTCTCTCTAAGAACTGTATCTTCCCCATGGGTGTCAAGTGAAACACTTTAGACTGGGGGGCGTCCATGTGGGGATGCTGACCATGTCATTGCAACATCCCCGATTTATGTCCAGCCAGGATATCTGTTGCATTTCTACTATTTAAAATGAAACAAATACAAAAACCAAATGACCCAAATATACAGATGCAGCATCAGTGGTCGGGTCCTTCCTGTTTAATAATTCTGCATCATATAGATACAGGACGAGCGTTACGAATCAACATACAGTACACTGAGAATAAAGCCCGGTGGTTTCCAGGTGAGGACTCATTCCCTCTTACTAAATTTAAATACAAACAGGACCTCATACGAGTTCCATGATTCAACTTATCACCTTATCACTCTGTCAACAACTGGGGAGGAGAGAAGTTTCTATTCTTCTCTTATCATGAGCCTCACTCTCGCTCTCACAAACACAGACGCACAACGAAACTCATACAAAAGTCGCCAAACATCATGGGGCTATAGATTTTACTTCTGTTATGTTGGTCAGTTTGATGAACTTCTGTTTCTTGCGTTGTGTAGATATCTGTTTGTCTTTTGTGTAAGCTTTTGTTGTACACCTTATCGGCCTGCTTGTTTAAATAAGAGCGCTCAGGGGGTCAGGAACATGAAAACATACTTCCCCCAGTTATTATTACAACTGATGTCTGACATAAAATGACATCTAACAAAGAAACAATTCGAAAAAAAACTCTTTGATAATCAGTAGACGTTAAAAAATGCAAGAAAAAAAATGTAGTGATGTGGATAATCCCAAAAACAAACTAGAATATCAATTAATTGACTCAACTTCACAGCAACATTGTTAACTGACCAGCAACTGACTTATTATCCAAAACTGATGTAGCTGCTTATATAAAATGTTTTAGAACACATTTCTTGTGGAAAGCTACAAAGAAAAACTCAAACTTTTAAACAATGTTTTTATAGAAAAATTGATTATTTCCAATTCAAAAAAAAAAATAAAAACCTGTCCTACATAATGAGACATATTTACTGGTCTGGGGGACAAACCTGTGTTGCTGTCTAAATGTAAGGATGTAGGTCTATGAATTATGCCTTTTTAGGCCTGGTTAAATTAAAATATTAAAAAAAATACATTTTTCAGGCTTCCAGCCCTCTAATTTAACAGCGTTATGTTTATCTGACTGACAGTAACATGGACATGAATGTCAGTTCGCCTGTTGATTTTGATCAATTATTTATAAAGGTTACACGTGAACCTCGTGCATTTCATTTTAAACTGCTTTGTATTTATTTGTTTTTTTGTCAAAAGTGTAACAAGATAGCATTTCTGCATTACTCCTGCAAATCTTTACTCTGCATTAACCTGGTACAACGAGTGTGATATAGACTTGTGAGTTTGTGGTGCTCAGTAGTTGGCTATAGATAAACAGCAATTTATGGCATTTTGAAAAGCACTTGATATCTGCAGAAACACGAGCCTAATATCCAGTTTTGCTATTTGAAGGATGAAAAATGTATTGTAGCCCAGTTATTTTGCTTCAGTCATATTATGGGGAGGTCCTGTGCGCTATCCAGTCTGTCACACGCTGGAGCTGGGTGAAGTGTACGAGTCCATGCCGCTCTTGGTCATCCCTCCAGGGAAGAGAATATAGGCAACCTGAGGCTGCAAACTGGCAGCAGACCAGGCGCTACAGTTACACGGCACCACGTATCCCGGGCTGGAGGGTGACGGGTGAGTGTGGGTGTGCTGTCCGTGGCAAGCAAGACCCCCGATCCCTCCAGTCTGGTATCCAAACGTGTGCGCGCTGTAGGGCAGCGCGCCAGCAGCCAGAGCGTGCGGCATCTCCGCCATCCGCTGGACAGCTCCTGTGCTGAACTGCGCCACCGGCTCCAGCAGCGAGAAGGAAGAGGGAGAGGAGACGGGAGCGAGGAACGCTCTGGCTTTATCCCCGGGGACAAGAAAGGAGTCCATGGAAAATCCCTTCAAATGCTCCGCTGCGTCCCCGAGGAAAGACGGCAGCGGGAAAACAAAACGGTCCCTCTTCAGAAGACTCTTAGGTTTGCGCCGGGGTCTGTACTTGTAGTTCGGGTGCTCCTTCATGTGCTGAGCCCGCAGCCTCTTGGCCTCGTCGATGTACGGACGTTTCTCGGAGTCGGACAGCAGCTTCCACTCCGCGCCGAGTCTCTTGCTGATTTCAGAGTTGTGCATCTTTGGGTTTTCCTGGGCCATTTTCCTCCTCTGGCCTCTGGACCACACCATGAAAGCATTCATGGGTCTTTTGATGTGATCTAAAGGTTTTTCCATGTCAGAAGCTTACACATTAATTGAAAAAAAACACACACCGGTCCTACTTTAAATTAAGTCACCTCTCCAAAAAGCTCATGCTCGTCTCGTGCGTAAAAGGAAAAGTTGTAGGAAATGTTTTTTCTGTCTCTATGGTAAGAAACTACTAGAACCCGTAATTCCAAATTGAGTGAAGCTTTTGCACAAAGTGTAACGGTAAAAAGCATAAAGTGCAAAGCCAGAATGGGAGTCACACAGGACCAAGTTGGAAGCTTGTTATGGATGATGCTGGGCATGTCAGCCACTCATCACCACACCACTGTCACGGCGGGCCAAGCCAATGGGAATGAGAGAGAGCTGTAATCCCCTCACAAAAAGTGACTGTACAACATTTCTGAGGGGCTTCCTCCTTCTCCCTCTCCAACAGTTTAGTCTCTCCAAATGTCTCCTGAGGCAAGTGAAGGCAATGAACCAGTAAAGAGAGTAATCTGCTGCACAACACACGCAGAAAACTAGGAATTATACGATTTTATAAGGGCAGAGGGATTAAGTTGTTTTGCACTGCTGCACCTCACTGCCCTATGATGACCCGTGTGGCACATTTGCTCAATTATTAAGTCTGTTAGAAGATCTCAGAGGAAATAGCTGTTTACTGGAGTCATATGAAACCATCTCATTAAACCAGATGTTTTTTTAATTCTAAGGTCACAGCTTCCAAACACCCCTCACCCCCTAAAAGAAAATCTCTAAATGTTGTTATTGGATTTTTCATGGTCAACTAATTATGTTTTCTGCACGTTTTATTGTAATGGAGCAATTCCTTCAAAAAACAAACCTCTGGAAAACAACAACTAAAATCACAGTCTGACAATTAGAATTGGGACGCATAGTTCTTTTCAGGAAACTTCCTAGGAAATTACAAACCCACAACATTTAATGCTACCGGTTTATATTCCAACGTGAAAGTCTAAATGCTGTTTCAAATCCCTCACCAATCTACCAGGAATAACTATTGGGGTAAAATATTGAATTCTGGTGTAAAATTGGCCTACAAATGTATGGAATCAGGCTGAAATCTACACGTTTAATTGCAGAATGTAAAGTTACTAAAACTGCCGAATGACAGAGGACATGACCCTGCATATGACCCTGCATCTACCATTATTAATTGAAATAGGCCATCAGTTGAAGACTCTAAAACTTGTCTCCATCTTTTGTTGCAAAATCCCTCCCAATATTTGTATTCCTACTTGTTAAAACTTGTCTTCAAAACTAATTCAACCATTCACATTCATTTAAATTCTTTCCCATGATTCCATGCAGGCTTCTTATATATCAATATGTGTACAAACGGCTCACCTCCCCCTCCCCCTTACTCTACAAAATCAATATTAATCATAGCCATAATTCATTGGCCCTGGGTGACTCATTGGTTGTTGCAGTTTTCATAATTACTATACCTTATCTGATCAAAATACACTATGGCCATCTCGTCTGTTATTGAAATGACATTGATGGAGAAAAGCCTCAGCAATAACTTTATCATACACAGCATACTGCATGGATGCACTGCTTCAAAATGTAGGAGCTTATAGGTAAAAACAGGGATTGGAGTATGTACTCAGGAATCTCATTTTACAAGGAGGAAGCTTCAGGCGCCCAAAATGGCTTCTGCAAAAAGGATTATTACCATGACAGAAGCATGATGTGTTTCCCCGTAGACAGACCTGTGGCGGTGAGTTGAAGCTCTGGGCTTAGGTCTAGCGCTGATAAACTTCGCTATCAGGGTACCAGCAAGGAGGAGGCCTTTATTTAATTTACCTCCCACAATCAAAGGCGCCGCAGGCCTCTTCAAAGGCAAAGTAAATGGACATAAAAGATCCAGCGGTGCCCACTGCATCAGTGGTGGAGATGATAAGACGTTTTCGGGGAGCGTTATTCTCCGGGTTTCCTCAGAGCAGACGGGCTTTAGGGATAAAGTGATTGGCAGCAGGGGTCAGACAGTTGATCTGTCTCCTCATGGCTGTGCTGTTATCAGCTGTGCTGTAGGTTCAGGCCTCCACACTCAGGAGGCACCCAGCGCCACACAGAGACAATGATTACCTTCACAGTGAAACCATGTTTAGAGCGTTTTTGACGGTGAGAGGAAAAACTGTCCGAGGACCACAACATGAGAGGACCTAAAGGGCAGTATGGAGAAATCTATTGCTGGCAAACTGATACTATCATCTGTCAAGATGACGTTTAATTCTGCTCAAAGCTTCAACACACAGAGAGTATGTGTTTTTTGTGAACTCGTCAGTGTTTGGTGTCACTTCTAAAGGGCAGCATTTAAACTCTGGAGAGATGAGGGGGGAAAAAAATGGGTAATAAGAAAAACTGCCAGCAGCACAAAATGGCTGTCGTAATCCGGTTATCCCCGGGCTCTAAAGATACTGGTCCTCTCCTTAGGAGTCTATCTTTTCTTCTTATGTCAAAACTGTCCTCCATGCACTCAGGTGGATTAAGGAGTCACACTGTAGAAAGAAATTGACAGGTACAGAAAGACCTGGGGGTGAAAAGGGAATGAAAGGTGACACAGAGTGGCAGGCCGGGCGCTCTGGCCGGGGGAGTGTGCCAACGTCTGACAAGAACAGAATCGAACAAGTAAACTCCACGCTGGAGAAGAAAATGCTGATGTTCCTCACTAATTTACTGTGTTGATTAACTGAATCAATACAGACCTGACTACGTATCTTGTGAAATGTATTTTCTGTCTTTCTCTGAATGGCTGAAGTGTTGTGACGACTGCATTGTTCAGAGATGGTGCTGCTTTGTCTCACATAGGTTGTTTAGGGGTTTAATGGCAGCTCCAATGTTACTATTAAAGTAGATCATATTCTGGATGGATGATATATGCAAATCATCCATTCCGTTGTTGAAAAAGAACTGAACAGAAGGCTCTTCTTCACTTTGGCTGTTGTAAACGTGGAAGGAGAAGCTTCTGGAGAACATTTTTGACACTGCCGGATGATTAGTCCATCAAGAGAAAATGAACCTATCATAAGCATGCAGTTGCAATTCTTTATGCACAGATGCCAAACATAACCTGGTTCCATCTTCTCAACTAATTGAAAAAAAATGTACAGATTAATTTACCTTAAAATGATTGTTAGTTGCAGGCCTATATCTTTGTAAACATTATAATTTATCTACTGTATTATAGAAGTAAGGCAGACTTGATGAGATGAAGGTCTACACCCTGTCTCATTCACCAGATCACGCTCTTGTGCTTTGCTGCATGGTAAACTTCAGCACGATTTATAATAAAATGTTCTCATTATCAATACACGCTTTTATTTCATGAAAATCCGTCATTTGAATGGAGTGATTTAAAAAGAAGGAAACTTAACCTACACAGAGGGAACTGGTCAATGGGTTTCCATCTAATTATGTGGATAGTTCAGTGGCTTTCATACTTCGAATTTTGTCATTTCAGCTTCAAGTAAATGCGCTGAAATCCCAAAACTACCCTGAAGTCTAACAAGAGTTTTTGACATGTCTGAGCAGTCCATTAGGGAACATTTCAGGGGGAAAATCCTCACGATTTTCAGTGCTCTGGGGGGGATTTCACTAAATCTAGTGCTTATTCTCATGATACTTAGGAAAAGTAAAGCGGTTTTAATAGCTTTCCCACTGACACATTGATGGTGGAATATGCTTAGGCTCTGTGGCAGATAGCTTCAAACCCGAGAGGTTGAGAGAGAGAGAGAGAGAGAGAGAGAGAGAGAGAGAGAGAGAGAGAG